GATTGCAAAGTTTCTGTTTACATAGGCACATCATAATCTAAATTGAGAAAAAGAGGTTGAAGTTGCTCTTTTCCGTTAGATGGGATTGAGGGAAAAAAAGTGATTCATGTTTGATCGAGAAATGCACTTCTTTACGTTAAATACTTGCCGCTTTATTTCGTGTTGCTGAGGAACACCCCACAGAACTTTTATTATCAGTTAGACGGCATGAACGAGTTACACTGAGCACATTGTCGACTAAAAGCAATCAGAGACGCTTTTTTCGTTTAACTTGACAGAGATACACTGGTTGGCGGACATACTTGTTTGTTCAACTTTACTACCGAAATATTCACTTGATTTACATTCCTGTTTAAAACTATATACTCCTCCTTTTAATTTTAATTGAAGACACTCTGCTCCGTCAATATTTGAATCACAAATATAACACGTTAATGGTGATTTCGAACTATTGGCTAAAATTAGAACAGAAATGGCTATACTAACCGCAATCCTACTGCGTTTGCTTGTGAAATTTTCTCCCTTTACCTTCGCAAAAAGCGATGCAGAATGACGTAAACTTCACCATTCGACTTAATAACGCCTAATGGAAAAACGGAATCATTTCATTTCTGATGTTCTTCTCATCACTCAACCGATTATCTAGACCAGTAGGATGGTTTTTTGATACCTTAATAAGCTGTAGAAATTAATATCTATTGGTCTTTCGGTCTCTCTATCTCTATACTCCAGTTTATTAACGAAAAGCGGCGAGGCCCAATGAATACTACACGAGACTGAAATCTTTTCCATTAGTCGTCCTTTCCAAAGGTGGGCGGCCGCCAGCCTTCCTTTTACTTTGTTAGATATTTACAAAATATTAAAATAACGCTGAAACATTCTGCCAACTCCATTATATATAATTTCCGGTTCTCCTCCTCTATGCAGTTGACGTTTCTGTTCTAAGCACCACGTTCGTCTTTCCTAGAGAATGAAATGAATGTTACGCCCCTTATATATAGGCTAGAGAAAAACAGCAGCAATGATCGACGGGATAGATATAAAAAAAGGCATCTACAAACGTTTGACCTATTCTTCTCTTTTGTTTAAATCGCTCATTTTTCCCTTCTAAACTAAGAACTACATTATTTCATAGACTGTGGCTACATTATATAGAGAGAAATTTGCAATAGGATAAATCAACTGAATATTTCTCCAGCAAAGTTGCACAAACAAGTCCGTGTCCCCTCACCCAACTTTGCAATG